AAGAGTCTAACACTAACACAGAACTCAACTGCACTGCTAAATATGGTTGTCTTTATAAAATAAAACTACAGGACTGAAATTCACAACCCACTAAAATCAGCAATAAGTTATGAAAATCATAAAGATATTTCTTTAAGTAATTAAGGGTAGTAAAAGTATTCAAAGTCCAAATAGCTGGTGGTAAGGTCTCCAGGATAGATTCCCAGGGTAAGAGAGAAGGGAACAAATGAAAACCTTGGAGTTTGAAAGACAAAGGGAACACATGACATCAAAGTGAAATTTCATTGCAAAGAAAATAAAATTTCTGAAAACTTTTATAAGAGCAACAATAGCAACTGCACAGTGTGATTGTGAAGAAGACTACCTGTAGAAATTAGAAGCAAATCTTTAAATTAAAATGAGACAAGTCTTCATTTCTTCTTCCTGAAATATTTCATTGAGTATGTTTTGTGGAGCAGGCTTCTGGTTTTGAATTCTTTCAGTTTGTTTGTCATGGAAGGTTTTTCTTTCTTTTTCAATTCTGAAGCTTAATTTTGCTGGGTACAGTAATCTTGGTTGGTCTTCAATTTCTTTCAGAGCTTTGTATGCATTATTCCAAGCCCTCTTGGCTTATAGGGTCTGAGTTGAGAAATCAGTTGAAAGCCAGATGGTTTACCACTAAATGTAACCAGTCATTTTTTCTTCTGTGGCTTTTAGGATTCTATCTCTATGTGTTAGGCATTTTCATATTAATGTGCCTTGGAGTGGATCTATAGAAAATTGTATATTTGGAGTCCTATAAGCCTCTCATATTTGAGTTCCATCTCATTCTTAAAGTTTAGAAATTTTTCTAATATTATTTCATTGAAAACATTGTACATCCCTTTAGTTTATATTTTTCAGAGTCTTCACCTACCCCAGTGATTCTTAAATTTGTTCTCTTAATGTCATCCCATATTTCTTGAATATTCTGGTCATGGTATCTTAACATCTTTTCTTTATGGTTAATTTTAAGATCATATACTTGGTCTTCAAGATTGAAAATCTATCTTCAAAGTGGTCTAATCTATTCATGATGCTTTCCATTGAATTTTTAATTGGACTTACTTTCATTTTAAGGATTTTGATTTGGTTCTTTTTCAGAATCTCTATGTGATCTCTCACTTCCTGTATATATTCTCTAATTTCACTCATTATGTCTTCTTTTAGCTTACTGAACATTTTAACCACAAATTTTCTAACTTCTTTCTATAACCTTTCTTTCACAGTGCAATGTATGGAGTCACTTATTGAATGTTACAGGCTGCCTGAGGTGATTTGTTACATTGCTTTTTCATATTGCTTGTATGTCTACCCATTTATTGGGAGGTTATAGCTTCTTTTTTTTTTAAGAGAGAGAGAGAGAGAGAATTTTTTAATATTTATTTTTTAGTTTTCAGCAGACACAACATCTTTGTTGGTATGTGGTGCTGAGGATCGAACCCAGGCCGCTCGCATGCCAGGCGAGCACGCCACTGCTTGAGCCACATCCCCAGCCCTATAGCTTCTTTTTTAATTTTTTACTTGTTCTTTTTAGTTATACATAACAGTAGAATGTATTTTGACATATTATACAGACATGGAATATAACTTCCCTTTCTTATGGTTGTACATGATATGAAGTTACACTGGTCATGTATTCAAAAATGAGCTTAGGAAAGTTATGCTCAATTCATTCTACTGTCTTTCCTAATCCCATCCTCCCTCCCTTTACTTTGTTCCCCTTTGTCTAAGCCAAAGTATTTCTATTCTTCCCTATCTACTCCCCTTATTAAAGTTTGTTAGCATCCGCATATGAGAGAACATTCGGCCTTTGGTTTGGAGGGACTGGATTATTTCATTCAGCATGATAGTCTCCAGTTCCAGACATTTACCAGCAAATGCCATAATTTCATTTTTCTCTATAGCTGAGTAATCTTCCTGTGTGTGTGTGTGTGTGTGTATCACTTTTTCTTTATTCATTCATCTGTTGCAGGGCATCTAGTTTGGTTTAATAATTTAGCTATTGTGAGCTGAACTGTACAGCTGCTTCTTTTTAAGGGGCAGCTTTGTGAGCTTCTTTCTCTTATGAGTCCCTGGGTTAGATGAATATCCAGATATTGACAATTTAACCTAGTGTGTCGCCTCTGTTAATTTCAGTATCAGGTCTACTTTGAGAGATGACACTGAACCCTATTTACTACAATCACTTCAGAGCCAAGCCACATACTATTCAATCTTTCAAAAAGTAAAAAACTTGTTGATATTATCCTCCACAGTTCCTCTAATCTAAGTGTAAACTCACAGTATGGTTCTGAAACAGGTTTAAGAATTAATTACTCATAGTAAAATTGCTATAAAATTATATGAGGGCTGAAAGGGGGAAGAAGAAAGATTGGGTAAGAGAGTGAGAAAAAGAAAAAAAAGGCAAGTAATAGACTGAGGTAAAAAGGAGAAAAAGGCTGATGGGAGTATTTGAAATAATGGGAGACAGTGTGAGAGGAATAGGGAATAGAGAAGCAAGTATATACTAGGAGTAGGAAGACAAAGACAAAGAGAATAATGCTTTAAACTATTAGAGGAAATATATTCATATGGATTGAAGGTACAATGTTGGCAGCCATCAAGAATACAAACAATAGTAAATGCTGTAGAGGATGTGGAGAATAACACTTTAATGCTGTTGGTGGTATTGCAAATTAGCACAACCACTATGGAAGTCAATGTGGAGAATTCTCAAAAGATTAGCTATGGAACCTCTATATGACCTAGCTATACATTTCCTGGTATTTATCCTAAAGGGAGATGTGTAGAGTAATGACACTAGAGGGAGGGAGGGGAGAAGGGAAAGGGTAAATATTGGGGAATAATATTGGCCGAACTGTATGGTTATGTTGTGTGCATGCACAAATATGTAACAAGGAATTCCACCATTATATACACATATACTGTACCAACAAGAAATTACTAAAAAAAAGAATTTTTATAAAACAACGCTGAAAAAGTTACAAAGTCCTACTTAATTCGGTATGACAATAAAAGGAAATAAAAAGCATACAGAATGGGAAGGAAGAAATAATAGTGTTTTTTGTTATAAGGTGCCATGATCATCCATATAGAAAATCCAAAAGAAACAACCAAAAAAATTTCTAGAATAATCAACTATAGCAAGGTTGCAGGAATCTAGCCTAATTCACAAAAGTCACACCTTACCATGAACTCCAGGAACTCCAGCTGCCATCCCATGACTCTGCGTGGGCCTCCAGTCCCACACACCAAATACTACATGGTTTATAAGCTCATACCTACTTTGATAACCCTGGTGCACACAGCATTTCTACAGGAAGACACACAAGGCTGCAGTACTGCACAGGGAAAGACCTGGTTGCTAGGCCACAGACAATCAGAAGTCATTGTGTGGACTCTCCAGAGATATTAAGTCTCCCTAGACATACCAAGGAACTGAGGGACCCACCTAGGTTTACACCAGAGGCAGGCAGAACTAGGTCTGTGTGGATAGCTTCCAAGACCTAAGTTCTATGCTGTTTTTGAAGCAGAAAGCTGAGGTAGATGGGGAAAAAACTAAAAATAAACCTCTCTAACCCAGCACAGAGATAGCTGGAATAGTTGCTACTTCCACACCCAGAGAAACTTAAGAGGACAAGAGGAGAAGGCATGGGCATTTACTACACCTCCAAAAACCTAACGTATCCAAACTAGACGGCTTTGTAGGAAATCTCTCCATTTCAAACAGCTAACCAAGAAATAATTTTAGACTCAATAGTTTTTTTTTTTAACTCATTGGTATTGACTTCTATGTTGATTTGAGAGGTTTTCCTCCATTATTTCATATTGCATACTTTATTCCAATTTTATATGTTTTTAAACATTTTTAATGTGTTTATTGGAATTATTCTTTAAATCTTCTTCTTTCTCATTGATACATTTTCTTCCTCCTCACATTATCTATTTCTATCATTACCACCCCTTTCATTTTACTTTTTCCTCTTTTACTGTTCATGCCCTATATAATTTAATGGTCATTTTACTTCCTTCAATAACTAATTTTTCAGCCTAGAGTATTACTCCCATTTTGGACTGACAGGATACAAAGGACATTTTAAGTATTTATGGTTTATTAGTATATGGTTTGCCCTGGATTGGGAAGAGTTACTGGTGGTTATTATCTTCTCTCAAAGAAGAGGAATTGATCATGGCATTGTGATCATTTTGAATGGGAATTCTGACTCAGATATTCACCAAGCTTGAATCATATAATAAAGAGAAAGCAGCTCACTAAAAAGACCCTCACCCAACAGGAAAAGAGATATCCCTCCCAGCAAATGCACAAATATCAATACTGAAAGCTGAGAAAACAAAGTGCCTCCAAAAGTTCCTAATGCTCCAATCACTGGACCCATAGATATCAAAGTGGAGGAGATGAAATAACCATATTTTAAGCCTAGAAATCCATAGTCTTCAATTCCCTGATTAGCTCAGGATGGGCACAAGGCTCCATGCACCCCATGCTACAAACCGGTCTCTACACAATCACCTCAACCCACAGACAGAAATGAACCAGATGAACTTTTTCCAGCTGTATCACTATCTCCTCAGAAGAATTTAACAAATTTCTGAACTTCTGTATGAGTAATCATTTTAAGAGATGTTACTTTGAGCTATTTACATTTTCAACAGGAATAATAATATAAGGGAAGGTATGTCAATAAATCATGTCCAAATAAAAAATGATATCAACATGGAGAAAATGCCAAGAATTTAAAAAGTTGATTGTTACAATAATCAATGAATTTAAAAAAGATCTAAGATGAACTGGGAGGGGGGAATATAGGATATGAAAGAACATTTACAAGTTCTGAAAAAAACAAACTGAGAAATAGTAAACATACACAAAAAGATACAAAACCAGACATTTAGATTACTATAAGTTTTCTAAGAAAAAGTTGAAATGTGGAGTGCCTTTTTAGAAACTACATCACACATACCAGTGTAAATTTGGTTTTTATTAACAATCAACTTTCTATAAACATTGTATCTAAATGTTCACCAATCAGCTGCACAATTTGAACAATTTTACTTCCAAAACAAAGACAAATGCTTTTATTTCCTTATGTCTCTGTCTTTCCTTGGGCTAGAGAAAGAAGTTGTATATGTAAAAGCAGATTCCAAAGGGGCAGTATTTCAAATGTGCTTTTTGCACACAGCCACATCCATAGCATGTGGATGGATATTCATCCTGCTAGACCTAGCTCTGCAGTCCACCACCAGGGCTGTACAGTAAGCCCAAATCGTAAGCATCACCCCAGGCTTCTGAACCACCCCACTGTCTGAGGACTTCATGCCTGAGACCAAACAAAGCACAAACAGATTTGGTAACTATGTCTATGTGATTGAAGAGTACACTAAAGAAAAAAAAAAATGGGGGAGATAGGACTGGGGTAAGAGATCTTTGACAGCATTTCCAGGAAATTCTTGCAATAAATGTGGGCATAATATCTGAATTACTGCTGGTATCCAAAGTCAGAAGCCCACCAGTGGTATCATGACTTATAAGGAGTAAAGGCCAAGTCAGAGAGAGGGCTGGCCAGTGATACCCCTGAGACTGTTTTCCTCTTCTCCCTTACCCAGCCCACAAGTAACAGTCCTCCTGGCCCTGAGACCTCAGCCAAGATTTCTGTTTGGTTTGGCCAAGTGCCATCTTCCCATAAAGCCTGGTGAAAAATAAGGCAAAACTGGGGATAAATAATCCCTCAAAAGCACTGAGGGGCAAATGTACAGACCACAGGAGATTAGTAAGACCTAGAGTCCCCACTAGAGGGAAGCACACATATCCTTGCTAAGTCAGCTTCACTGGCCTGCCAGAACACAGGTGTTGGAACTATCCCTACCTAAACACACTTTCTTCACTACATAAACCCTCAGTGCTTTTCAAGTTCAGCACATGGGGTTCTATGAGGGAGAGGGATTCACACTTAAAAATCTATCCTTGTTTTCATTTGATCACTCACCCATGGTTGGAGGATAGAAAGGACAGGTATACACGACCAGGAACCTTTCCCAAGGGGCATGGGTAGGGCTGAGCTGAGGTTCAGCTCCTCTGAGCGTGTAGTCTATAGCGCCTGGTGTCTGCAGACTGAGAAGGGATGTGGGTAATTGCACTTTGGGGCACAGTGGGCACAGGCATGGACTAGATATGGCCTGGGAGACAAGAGAGGGCAGACTGACCTCAGTTCAGTTCTCTGGACAATGAGAGGAAGGTCATGGTGAGGCAACTCCACAGACCAGAACTGTGATCCCAGTCAGCAAGACACAGAAACAGCAAGAGAAGGCTTACTCCCAGAATCTCTCACCCAGGGAACAGAGACCCTGTATCTTCTTTCCAACCTTCAATACCAGTTGCAGGGCTTCTACTCTGAACATTTGTATTTGCTTTATCTTTTTTTTGGGGGGTGGGGGATGTGCAGGACTAGGGATTAAACTCAGGTCCTCAAATATTCTAGGCAAGTGCTCTATTCACTGAGATATCTCCCCACACCACTGCTTAATCCTTCTAACAGGTCAGTTGAGGCACCTAAGGCTCAGGGAGACTCCAGGCAGGACCCCCCAGGTATCACCCTGCCCCATTTCAGGAGGCTCTGCAGGTGCTAGCAGCTGGATGACAGTTCCCTGGTTGAACATCTGAGCACTCATGTCCTGGCCAACTCCCAGAGTTGACTATTTGCCTAGCACTATGAAACTGGGCTTTAAGAACAGAATTATAAGCAGACATTTTAGGGGGACAAAGGTCATTTGATAGTGTTGAATTTGGTTTTGTCTGTCTTATGAAAAACGGTTCAAAAGGTAATCCCTGATGATAGAACAGACCAATTGCAGGGCCAAGGGCTCCTAAAGGATCCTGTCTGTTCGGTCTGGTTAAGGCAATGATGGGTGGGTGTTGGCTGGGGAGCAGTAACATAGTGGCCCATGCACTTTGCTGCTCACACCTGGCCTTCCTCCCAGAGCCAGTCACCTGCCTTTTGTCTCTTAGCAATGGCTCCATGGAACTTCCCCAGCAGGAGCCAGCACATCAGACAGGTGACAGGAGCACCTACAGCACACACATCCAGACCAGACAATATGTGTCTGCTCTTTCAGCATAAAGCCAGCACCAAACTGGAGAAATCTATTGGTAATCATTTTTTAAATACTCAGTTTTGTTCTAAGTATTTCCTTTCCTTCCATTTGTATCTCAAAACCCTTCTTTTTCAGTGTAGACAAAAAAAGATATGTACAGGGCAGGCCTATGAAAAATAAGGACTTGTCATAAAACAGGCTCAAAACTATAGGAAATATGCAACCTGACTTTTAGCATCCATGAGTTCCCATGAACTCTGTTACGACAAAGTCTCAGACCTGGTCTTCCCTCTTGTCAAGTCATAAGTGTCTTCAGACATAAAGAGGACGCCACATTTGTTAGAATGTATAAGGCAAAAAAGGTTTCAGATCTATTTTTATGTAAAAGAGATAACAAGAGGTTTCTAAATGCAACACCCAATTTCATTCCCACTAGACACATATTACAAAATACTCTCTTCTGTAAAGTGCTGTTTGCTCAGTAAATCATGCACCACCAGAGACATGGCACCAAGCTTCATCTGCTTAAGGGCCAATGTGGCAGCATCAGTAGAAGGAGGGTGGGAGTTTTTGCCTATAAAGACTATTTCCATTCCATCTCCTCAGCCCTCTTTAGTGAGAAGGGAATTCTCTCATTACTGCCAGACATTCCCAATGCTTGGCTCTGGGACAGGGACAGCTTCATTATCAGGGCTGTCCCCCACTTCTGCTCCTGCTCTCCCTTCTGGTTTGGCATTGTATTACCTCATTCTTCTCAAGATCTTGAATCAGAACTCAGCCAGCTCCCCATGATGGCTGCATGGGGTCTCCTCCTCCCTTTAAATCATATAGAGTGGCCAGGCAGAAGTGGGACTCACCCATGCCTGACACACAGGAGGGCTTTCCAGGAGATTTGACAAGAAGGGTTCAAAAAAGAGAGGCAATGGTCACCTGCCAAGTCTATACTATTTAAAGGACATAGAAAGGTACACAATTGGCAGTAAACAAATTCCTTTAGCTCTTCATAGATGTCCATAAAAACAATACCCTCCACACCATCAGACGTGAATGATTTCTGCTCCAGTGTCTTCAGGCTCTGTGCAAGAAGAAGAGTTTGTGTCCGAATAACAGACTCCATGTCCATCTTTATTTTCAAAACTGGACTCTGTTAGTGCAGATTTTTCAAAAATATTCTTTTTGCTTGTTTCTGGACAGTTTTGAACATAGATCACTCTATTATAAGCCTTGAGTCTCTTCCACAATTGCAGGTATACTTTACATTGAATGTACATAAAAAGAAGTCCTCCAGTGAAGCCAATGGCCACTACCACCAATTTAGTCCAAAAGGGCCACTCTAGGATTCCTGGAAGGGAAAAATTCAATTAGCCTCTCAATAGAGTTCAAATTTAACATCTGAAGTAAACAGAACACAGCTTTTGAACTTCTCATAACCAATGGATTCTTCACTCATCAAATCTTCCTTCCTCAAAAGTGGGGTGGAAGAGAACATCCACCATCTTTTATCCTGTCCTCTCATCTCACACTCCATTATTCCATTTCTTCTGACTGGGTTTTAAACTAGCCTGAGAAACATCCAAAAAGAATGCTTTGTGCCTCCTATTTATGCCCCACACCCCAAACCCAGATGCTCACAGTAGGGCTGGAACAACATTCTGACCTCAAGACCCCGGCATGTTCTCCAAGGCTTGTATGCAGCACTTACTTCTCAGGCTGAGCTCTTACCTGTTCCCTGCCCCTGCTTGATCTCCTCAGCAGTACGGTCGATGAGCACATATAAGGACCAGACTACACAGGTGATGGCGATGACATGAAACATCACTGAGTATGTGATCTTCCTGCGCTCGCTGGCCGTCATCTGCAACTTCTCCCACTGGAAAGGTGACAAGCAAAGAGTGAGGCTCAGGCCCAGAGTAAATAGGTATAATGGGAGTGAGAATATTGTTGATGGCCACAATCAGCTCTCCATCCCTTCCCTCTCCCTCAACTAGATGACTTTCCCCAAATACTCAAAGCTGTTCTCTTTAAGCCACTGGGCTTCAACCAGGTACCAGACACAGCCAAAATTTTATGAAATAAAAAGCATCTGGGATCAAGATAAGCACTGAATTATCATCAGCACCTGCTTATTCTCACAAGCAGACACTAAGTGGCCTAATAAAGGATTCTGTGATTTCAATCCTAATGAAAACAACATGTTGGTTCAAGACCCAGGTGCTGTTTTATGTCTCCCTGGCTTGTTGACTGGTATGGACAAGCGGAAGAATAGGGTTGATGATGCCACAATACACTGGCAGATGGGTCACACTATGTTGTGAAGGTGAATGGCGGAAGGCGCTCACTCTTTGGTCCTCTGCTACCTTTGCAGCAGCAGCTTGACATCGATGCTAAGAGTTCCTGGTACAAGCAGACTCTGCCAGTGCCATCTCCTCTAGGAGCACATTAATTTACTCCAAATAGCCAGATTTTCTTTTTCATTTACTGGTTTCCGAATCAGAAGAAAACATATAAAAGTAGAAAGAAAGAAGAAAGTGTAAACACTCTGCATATCCCTTGCCAACAGTAGTCACAGCCTTTATCCAGATGGTTCTATGCAATGTAAGCTGAAAATAGAGCCTCTAAATTATCCACGTGCCACAAGAGAGAGTCACTTCAGAGATCAGCATGGAATAGGTGGCAAAATGTTTCTTTTAGTAATATGAGCCTGCCTTCTGTAACATCTGATTGCTTTCTGCTGAGGTTTTATAACCAGCAAGTTCTCTGGGCTTCCTACCTAAAACACAATCAGTGTCTTGGTGTCTCCAGTCCCCTGATTATCACTATTTCCTAGGACACCCACAGCTCCACTCTTTCACACCTCTGAAATGCTCACCCTCTTGTCTTTCTTGGTGGATGCTTTTCTCCAATTTGACCTCACTAAAGTCCTTCACTTTGCCCTCAAAGCCCATGCATATATCCTTCCAGAACTGCTACAAAAGCCAAACTTTCTTTGATGCTCTCCACCTCCCTAGGATGAGGCATGCCCACAACACACTTCTCTCTGCATGGTTTTAATTGGTCTCATTGTATGCCATTATTTGTCTGTGTGATTCCCCTGGCAATTTACATGTTGACATTTTTAAGACAGAAATAGGCTTTTATTTTTCCAAACAAAACCTCCGTGCTAGGCACATAGAAAGATGTATGAAACAGTCAACATCTGAATGGTAATCAGCATCACACAGTTTCTCTAAAATGAAGCAATGACCTGTGACATGAAGACAGCTGCATTTCCCCACTCACCCACCTCCCATCCAGTAAACACTTATCACAGGCATACACGAACAAATTGACTATGTGCTATGCTAGGCTTAATGGTTGGGAGACACACTATCTCCAATATTCAGTCTTCACTGGAAAGGCAAGATACTAACAGTTAATACATACAAAGCTAAATGCTGACTAAGATGTCACAGGACAGTCTGTGGCCAAGAGCCAAGTGACTGACACAGACAAGCAAGCAGTCTAATTGTGAAAGAGAAGCATCACAACTGAATAGTGGTAAAGAGCTTCTTCCTGAAGGTAGGGACTTAGACATAAGTACCAGAAACAACAATCTACAATGTGAGTGTAAGCACCAGTCAGTTATTTAAAGAAACAAACAGAGGCATGCTATGGCTCCATGGTCTGAGATGATAACTCATCCAGGTCATTCATCTCAGAGAGGGTTAAGTACTTGTGGGAATGTTCTTTCCTCACATACTTTTCTCAAAGGTTTCAGCTTGGTCTCCATGATGAACTCGTACTTGCAGAGCTCACAGCAGCGCGTGTCAGAGCTCTTGATCCACTGCTGCAGGCAGGCCTGGTGCACAAAGTGGAGGCTTCCTGTGCAGTGGCAGGGGGTGATCAGGGGGCTCTCATCATCACCTTCACAGTGGCATATCCTATGGTGGGAGGAAAATCAGTTAGTGCCAGAAGAGCCCCACAACAAGGAAGGTGACACTGCAGTGGAAGTTCAATCCATGAAAGAAAACTTTCAGCAACAAACATCACAGAAGTGACTATGAGCACAAAAACATACAAGCACAAATGAAAATAATATTAAAACTAAAATATCTAGCTTACCGCACACACATGGAAAGTCAGGATGGCATTTGGCAATAAAGAGGGAGAAAATGATATAAGAAATGACAAAGCAATCATTGTGGGTTAAGACTTAAGAACTTCACTGAAAGATGAATTTAAGGCAACATGAAGTCATCTTCTAGAACATAAGACATTAAAATAATTAAAATTTCTATGTAAAATAAAATGAGCAGTGTCCCTCCGCAAAATACTACAGTGACTTAAGAAAGCATGGCTTTCTAACTTTAACACTGACTTCGCCTTCACACACTACAGGTACATCAGCCCACCCTCTCTCATGGAGTAAACAGAGATCATAGTTCTCTCTCCTCCACCTAAAAACTCACCATGATGACATACTGCAATTTCATTTCTTTTATTCAGGACCACTCATAGTACTGAACAAAAATTAATTTTAAAGCAGTCATTATTTCTAAGGAAGCATGCAGCAGGAGAACTACTAACCTCAAGGAACTTAATCAGGCTTTTGAGAACAGGGATCTTTTCCAACAGCTGAGGAATAAGCAGGGATATGTGTCCTGAAAGCAGCCAGGCCCTGACCTTGCCAGACTCTTGGGCTGGTTGTTTCAGGCACAGGATTTCTGATCCAGCTCTGAGAAATGTAATGGGTGGCACCAAGGAGGGAAAGGTTGGTTTGGGAGAAACAGGAGATTTGTGACAGAAAATGAATTCTCAGAGCCTTAGGGCCAGACAAGGATGCTGCACAAAGAAAATAAGGTGGGAAAGAGGATTTAGGACTGGGCAGGGGTGGCCACACCTAAGTTAAGAGGAAAGCAGGAAGGAGATACTGGAGAGCAGCTACTCCTAAACATTCACTGGGGGGAGCTACAAGGAGTAAAAAACGAGACTGGGATGGCAGCAAATGCTTAAAATCAGGACTACCAAGCTGGAAAATTGGAAATACTATTTTCTTTTTTCTAATTTCCTTATCCAAAGTCTATTTGTTTTTAGTTGAGAAGGTCAGCTTGGCCTTTAATATGTATAGCTTCTTCCTCTTTTAAAATTAGTTTTTCAAATAGCAACAATACTTCATTCTCCTGAAGAAAACAATTACCCCCCAAATGGCTACGACTGTATTAACTGTTTTCCCAAAACTTCACATATTAAAAGCAAGATGAGGCTACAAAGGTGTGAGCAGAGATGGCCAGAATGGTGGTTCCTGGCAAACCAACCTGCAGGCATCCCCTGAGATGGACACAGGAGAGATGGGGGTAGATTTTTCAGACAGGGGAGAAGGACAATCCAGGTCACTGTCCTTCTCCATTGAGCAGAGGGGTGCCCGCAGAACCCTGCACTTGAGTTTGGCGGATGTGCTGTCCTCAAAGACGTCGTCGTCTCCCATTTCATCAGAGCAGAAGCCCATGCTCCCTGCCAGCCCACTCGAGGACTTGGTGGCATGCAGGTGAGCGGTATGGCTCTCCAGCTCATGGAATCTGCGCAGGCTGCTGGTGCTAGAGCCATGGGAGAGCAAGAACAGGTACTGGAGCAGCCGCTGGCTTCTGGACCCGGCCTCGCCATCTGCTTTCTCTTCCAAAATCGGGTTGTGCATACCCCCCTTGCCAGCTTCTACCTCTGAGGCAACAGAATGGTTGGCAGAGAGGGATGAGACACAGAAACGTTTGGAACTGCCAAGAGATTTAGGATTCAGTGCTCTTTTTCCTTTAAAATGAAACCTGTTAATTCTGAGACATGGATCTTGAGAGAGTACCAATTTTCCTTCAGAACAAGTTCTTTCCACATAGTCAAAGCTTTCCAAAGTATCCTGGGGCTTCTCACATACATCATTTAGGGACTTTGAAAACTTTAGTGTTCTTCTGGCTTTGGCATTCTTAGCAGGCTTCAAGGCCTGAAACCATTCAGAATCAAAGGAATTGCTTTCTGATGCCTGTAATGTGTCTTTACAGACAACTGTCACAGGGAGCCCTTGTGTCAGAGAACTCTGGCAGTGAGGTGCTTTCAAGACAACAGCAGACTGCAAGGGACTGTGATGACAATACTCAGAAAACACTGCACTGGAACTGCATGCAGAACAGTGGAATAAAGCACAGAAAGTAAAAACAATTTTAAGAGAAAACAGACATCAAAGTTTAGAAATGAGACTGGTGTGGTAATCTGGTGAGCAAACAACACATAAAATTGGGCCAACTCCTTCACCAAAGGAAGAATGATAAAACAAATGAAAAACTGAGAAGCTACAGACATTAATCCTTATATCCAGAATCATATGGGCCACGGCAGCATCTGAAGCACAGTGTTACCTGCAGATGTCCTGGTTGGATGGTGTGACAGAAGTGCGAGAGAAGGCAGACACTGGAGCTGATGCTGAAGGAGAACTCCCAGCCTGCAATGACATACCCCCAGTCAGTGTTCAGGAAGGAGCCAAGGTAAGTGGAAACACCATCTTCTCATGAATGGCTGTGAGAAGAAAAATCTAAGAATGTCTACTGCTCACAATAAGGAATATATGTTAGGTCCTACAAACCTAGGCAAAACAAATACAACATCATTCCTCCTTTTTTTCTTATGTGTGTATTGCCCTTAAAGAAAAGTAAGATAGTAATATACCTTGTCCTCAATACCCCCCACTTTTCAGTCCCCCCAAAAAACCTAGTCAGTTAAGGAAGCAATGAGAGCAAGCCGGGGCTGGAATGTCCAGGTACATATTATCTTGAAGGTCTCTGACTTTCTCTCATGCACGCTGGGAAAAAGGAAAATTTAACATTATTAGAAGAAAGTTGCTTTCTGCATGTACACCAGGGTAGCTGCTTCTTGGGATGCTGGTCATACATGCAACCTAACCAAGCTAATGTTGATGTCGCTGTTTCTGTAACCTAACCTATAAACCCCCTCCTCCTCTAGTAACTGGTGCAGATCAGAGCAATTTGGAGGCAGAAGTGCTCATCCAGGTGGCTGCCCCTGGACAAAGAGTGGAGAGGGATAGCAGGCACTATTCTCTGCAAGGTACCGGAAACACTGTGTGTAGCAGAGGTTCATCTGCCCAGCCTGTCACCACTGGACTTTCTGGCAAAGCACCTTTCCAGCCTTTTGCCACTGGACCATTTCTCAGTAAAGTGAACTTCTCGATAAAGTGAATTTTTCAATAAAGGCTTATGACTTATAAGCCACCTCTGAGTATTACCTTAGGTCTCTCTGCAATGTGTCCCAATGTCCTGGAACAACTGGGCTATGGATATAACAGCAGGCCAGTTGGAAGACCAAAGAGATCCTATGAGCACCAAGACTGTGGCAGCTGAAAAGGGGACATATGCCATAGGTAACATCCAAATGGCTTTCCATTTCCATGTGTTGGGGATGGTGGCTACAATAGATACTTGGAGGATATCACACAAGTAGGAGGATGCCTGAAAACACCCCAGGGACCAGGGGAAATATTATTGCTTGTGGGCAAGCAATACTATCTAAAGAAAAAGAAAGAGGTGAGTAAAATAGCAGCAGCTATGTGGTGGCCCCTCCACATAGCAATGGATGCAGCAACAGAGGCAGAGCTTCAGGCCCAATCCTGTATTAAGCAACTAAGGAAGAATTAAAACTGGACTGTGCAACATGATTAACTCAAGCAGGGACTACTGAGCAATAATTGCTCATAGAAGAATATTGATGAGAATTTAGAAACCTAAGCCTTCTGCTTTGCTAAACTGAAAGGTAAACGTCTACCATGAGCTAAAATAAGGATGAAAATTACTTAAAAGAACTGGGACCCTTGGTGACCCCAGGATCTCAGAAGAAAATATGAGTACTGGGATGAGCCGATTGAGGTACCAGTACTAAAAGCCAGATGGCTCCTAAATCAAAAGGTAAAGACAGATCTGTCTCAGCTAGTGAAAGTGGATGATGAGAATCTTCCCCTTCCCAGTTGGTACATGCATATCTCCAGAACCAGGAAACAAGTTTAGACAGAAAGCTAGGGGAAATATAGCAGTATGGCTGTTGTGGCTTTGGGATACTATTACTGAATGCACACTCCTATCAGAGAGCAAAATGAAATAAAATGCCTCACACACCACACCCCCTACTCTGTAGTAACATTTATATTCAGCTGTTAAGGAGAACTATGACATCTCTATTGTCCGGGATGATAGCTGCCTATAAAAAATGCTTAGCTCCACTGGGGATTTACCTGTGGCACACCCAGATGACCTCCTAAGAGAGGAATGAAGTGTGCAATTTATGCAGAGATCTACAATGGTCCTAATGAAATAGCAGGAATAAAGAAGACATTCTTCAATGGCTCTGGGGCATATTATGGAACTCTGGTATGAATTCTCAGTCCTTTGGTGGCCCTTCCAGTTTCACAAGCAGCACAGGCTATAACTGACATAGGGGAAACTGAAAAAATTAGGAAGCAAGGGGCTGGGTTTGTGGCTCAGCAGTAGAGTTCTCGCCTATCATGTGCGAGGCTCTAGGTTCGATCCCCAGCACCACATAAAAAATAAATAAATAAAATAAAGGTATTATGTCTGACTACAACTAAAAAATAAATATTTTTTAAAAAGATTAGGAAGTGAGAGATACAGAATATGGATGAAAAGGTGGGAGAAGGACGGAGCAAAAGAAAGGGAAGATGTCCAATAAAGAAAGCTAGGAGAAATTTGATTTCATGTGGGAAGGGCAAAAATTGACTTTCAATGTTCTTCCCCTAGGATATTTACATAGTCCAACCATACATCATGGGATGATGGCAACTGATCTGAACTAATGGACAAAACTTGACACAGTACCAATGTTTCATTATACTGATTATACAGTGTTAATTTCTGAGTCTTTTCCCTACCAAGAGGAGGCAACCCAAAGGTGGTGGGGCATTTCCCAGAGAAAGGATGGGCAGTCACATCTCCAAGTTGCAAAAACTTGGGCTATCAAATACTTGGGGTTATTTGGTTGGATAAGACTTCAGTGGTACCAGCTTCTCTCATAGGTAAAATTTAAGCTTTCTTTACCCTGACTACTCCCAAAAAGATGCATCTCATTTGGAATCATTAAGCCCCTTCACTCCATATTTAGCACAGATGTTAAGACCACTGTGCCATTTAGTAAATAAATAAAGTGGGACTGGGAACATGAGCACATTAAATACACACACACACACCGAAATTATAAACCTTGAGCAGAGTATTCCAAGAACAGCCCTATGAATTGGATTTTTCTAGATACCATGATGGTTTTAGACAAGGCTGTGGTGGTGGCCTCAGAACAGACATGACCAATGTCTTATGTGATGAAGTGTATAGCTCAGGAGGGAAGAATGAAACAATAGTGGCAGGATGATTTCATCAGACCCTTGCCCTTATCAAAAGTCTATAAGCTTGTCCAAACATGTGCAGGTTAAAGAAGCAATGAGAGCAAGCCTGGACTGGAATATCTAGGTACATGTTATCTTGAAGGACACTGACTTTCTCTCATGCACGCTGGGAAAAAGGAAAATTTAACATTATTAGAAGAAAGTTGCTTTCTACATGTACACCAGGGTAGTTGCTCCTTGGGGTGTTGGTCATACATGCAACCTAACCAAGCTAATGTTGATGTCGCTGTTTCTGTAACCTAACCTATAAACCCCCTCCTCCTCTAGTAACTGGTGCAGATCAGAGCACTTTGGAGGCAGAAGTGCTCATCCAGGTGGCTACCCCTGGACAAAGAGTGGAGAAGGATAGGAGGCACTATTCTCTGCAAGGTACCGGAAACACTGTGTGTAGCAGAGGTTCATCTGCCCAGCCTGTCACCACTGGACTTTCTGGCAAAGCACCTTTCCAGTCTTTTGCCTCTGGACCTTCCCTGTAAGCATTTCTCAGTAAAGCATAAAATTTGCATGTCATGTCCAGGCATTTTATTTGGTCTTTTAGTAATTTTTCCCACTGCTCTGGCACAACAGGGCTATGTACATGACACTGTGGATAAAAGTATAGCCCAGAGATACCTGAAACCACAAAGCCTCACTGTCAAGCTTCTGTGAGTTCAGTGGCTGGTTTTTCCCCTAAGCATCTACACTTCACAAGTTCATATATAAGTCAATAAAATGAAGATATAGGAGGCATGGTGCCTGACATCACTAGCTTCTCCCAGAATGCCTTCACATGGTTCCTGAGACAATCTTATCCAAGGCTGGAGGACTTGAGAGCACTCTACTACCTCACAACCTCATGCACAGTGCCCACTTGCTGGTCCACATAACCTCACTACCAATGTCATAGTTCTCTCTCTCTCTTGTTTTTAATATTTATTTATTTTTTAGTTGTAGTTGGACACAACACCTCCATTCCATTCATTTATTTTTACTTTTATGTGGTGCTGAGGATCGAACCCAGGTCCCTGAGCATGCTAGGCGAGTGCTTTTCTGCTGAGCCACAATCCCAGCCCCAACATAACTCTCTTTATAAAGAAGATTCCATGATTTGAACCACCAATCCACAGATCAACCTGGAAGCTAGGAGAGGGCTGAACATAGGATGCTCCCAAGAGGTCTAATCTTAGAAATGTGAATTAATAATTAAGAAATTTAAGTTGAAATAACATGTAAGAAGAGCTCATAGGATAGAATAGGGCCTCTGAGGGGTAGTGAACAAGCCAAAATTAGGGGAAAGATCTAGGACAGAAAAAGCACCACAGTGAGAAGAGAAGTGGATGGAGAGAAATAGGGATGGGAAAGGAGCTAATCTGAGCATGCAAAGCCATCACTAAAGGCCTCCGGCCTTCCAGGCATGCCTCTCTGGGGTCTAGCAAGACTCATTCTCTAGCCTCTAGGGTACCTATGTCCTTCTTATAGTCACGTGTTGCTTACAGTGGGAACATGGTCCACATTTATGACTAGAAGATTCTGTCATCATGCAAACATCATAGAGTGGACTTACACAAACCTAGATGGCATAGGTCAATCACTTGATGTGGCCTCTTGATTTGATTTAGAGATATAGTAAACATGAGATGTATGAGGCTGCTTCTGGCACAACACTGCATACTTATTTTACAGTAAATTTTTTAATAAGTAGAAGGAGTACACTCTAAAATAAAAGTGTAGTATAATAAGTGCATAAACCAATAATAGTCATTTACTTATCAGTTGTATAGGCACAGCAGGGTTATACCAGTATCACCACAAATATGAATAACATGCTGCACCACATTAGAATTGCAACGCTGTCACTAGAAGGCAGAAACTTTTCAGATCCACTATAATCTTATGGGACCAATGCCATATATGCAATGTGTCATTGACCAAAAAGATCATTATGTGACATGTAACTGTAAATACATTCTTCCTTCCTTAATTCCAGAAAACAATGCTATGAGTCTGTTAAGTCCACATTACCACTCACCGTGATTCAAGAG